GAGGGAGGGAGGAAGGAAGGAAGGAAGGAAGGAAGGAAGGAAGGAAGGAAGGAAGGAAGGAAGGAAGGAAGGAAGAAAAAAAGGTTACAATGGTTTGAACTTCAAAGCTACCTATGAATAATAGACAAGGTTAATGTGAGATCACAGCTCAATTTACCCCATGCAAAATTGTAGATTAATCGTATCTCTAATTTAACCATTTCTCTGCCAGTCTTAGTCCCAGAGAACTAGTGGAGTGATATCCTTGGCCAGTTTTTAGAGCCAACAAAACTCTATACCAATGTGTAATTCCCTAACATGAATAAATTCAGTATAAAAATTAAAATCATGTCTTCATTTTGTGTTATTTTGAATGCTAGAATCAAATTCAAGTTTTCTTGTGAGCTAAGCCCATGCTCTACTACTGAATTACACTCTCAACCCAGAAAAAGTTGCTTTACATAAAGGGGAAAAGCTTTTCAGAAGCAATACAGAGGCTTAAAAAAAATAAGACTGGAGTATCAAAGATACTAATAGGAGGTTAGCAATTAATGTACCAGACAAAATATGTAACACAACATCTTCCATACAATAATCACGACAAAGAAGCTGTGTTCTAAAGTGACACCAATTTGCTTCCTACAGAATTTCCTGGTGATGGAATTAGAGAAGAGCCTCCAGTAGTGTCCCTATACTCTCCATGAAGGAGAACAGGCATCTGGAGCCCACAGGGCAGCGTATAGGTTTCAGGAGGTCTGCAGAGAAGAACTCTCCAGTTCTCAGTTAAATGTTGGTCACTATATCTATATTAAGAAACTCTAGGAGCTAGGTTGGTTATTTTGATTAGTTGGTAAAAATGCACTTGCCACACAAGCCCACAAATAAGGTGAAAGGAAAGAATTGACTCTTCAAAGCTATTGCCTGATCTCTATATGCATACAAATATGCATTAAATGCCTAATAATAATAATAATATAATAATAAATAATATTTACATAGGAAGAGAAGCTGTAGAAGACCAAGGGAGAACTGCCCAAATGGACAGAGAATAATTCCTGAAATTCATGCAAAACTGAAACTATTTTTACAATCCACTGGCCAGAGTGTGAAACTTCATACTACACAGCATCTAGCTGAGAGCTTTCAGACACAGGGTCTCTGTGACACAGCAACATTGGCCTTTGGTCAAAGGTTACTTTGTATGTATCTAAGAAAGTCTTAAAGCATATCTCGGAAAATAAAGATGACTTTCAAGTAATTTGACTGAAGAAATAAAAATTACTTATACAAATACAGAAAGATCTAATTTCTATCAAAATAAAATCCACATTCTGTTTTCCAAAGGAAAAGAAAAAATGATGAACAATATCACTTATATAAACTGACCATAAAACACTCATATAATGTAATTTATGGACAAGATTATTATGTCAGTTTTCCTATATGCTTGAGAAGGTGTAACAAGAATAAAACATGTTAAGCAAATAGAAGGAAAATAGAGATATCCAAAGTATAAAATGTACTTCCAAAGAGAAAAAAAAAACAGGTTTTGTGAAGGATAATGTGCCATATGATATTAACAGCGAATTTAATGGACTCCAGAGACAAAGAGAAACATAAAATAGCCAAGAATACCTTTTATTTTCAGGTCCTCTGTATTTAAATATAATCTTAATTACCCTTCTTTCCAAGACTACACCTTCATCAGTGATGGAGCTTGGTGAAGGAGCATTTGACCAGCAGGTACAAGTCCCTGGGTACAAATTCTCAGAATCCCCCCCCAAAAAATCTACAAAATTATACTTTAATTTTTTATTATTTCCTCATATTAGTTCCTGTCCTCAGACTACTGGGTATTTGTTTACGTGCCTCAAGACCTTCTACTAATTCCCAAGGCCAAGAACACAGTCATCACTATTTCTTGGCCAAAATTTCCTCTCTTCAGTACTCCCTTGCCAGCCTATATATAGCTTTAGTTGTTTTTTTTTATGTAACATATGAGCTTCTTTTGTTCATTTTTAAATTTCCAGAACACAATAATTTTCTTGAATCCATCAGTTCCAAGTTCAAGTGTTTGAGAAAAGATAGGAGAATGTAAGTCCTATGAATATGTATCTGTGTAACTTTATTTTCAACATTTAATTATTATATTGCTTATAAAATACAAAAAAGCAGAATGAACTTTCAAGTTTCTAGCCCATAAATACGTCTGGTAGAATAATAAAAGCAAACGAGCTAAAATAAAGAGTGTGTAGTGTGTTTGAGAAAGAAAAAAAAAGGCAACTGTGGATGTCATATATGTCTTGTGTCTAAAACTGACATATAAAACATTGATCTGGTTAAAAATTAGTAGCCAGCAGACACTACCTAAAATAAAAGAGCTGAAAGAAATAGTCTTGTAAATCCTATCCACTTTCAATGTTTGTCCCAATGACCATTCAGGCTGTTGCTCTTATGGTATATAATAAATTCTTGGACTACATATTTTTCATTTCCTCATAGTTATGGCACCAAACCCTATTAATATTATACACAAATTGTTCAGACTGTATTCCAGGTTACAGTTATTAGCTGAGTGGCCCTGAGGCTCTGTTACAGACAAGTCCAAAGCATATAAATTATAAGGTAAGGATTTGATTGCAATTATCTCTGTGTGGCGCACAGGAGAAATTTTGGGTTTGCAATTTATAATACATTTCATTATGCCTAAACATCATTTTTGATTATTGTTCTTGACTGAAAAGGGCCTGAAATTAGTTTCTTTGGTATCTAGTGTCTATTCTTTAGAGAAATCAATTGCATAATCGGGGTGGAGGATGTCGTTGAGTGACAAATGTGTAGGTACTTGGATTTACACACATAGGTCCACTTATAAATACAGTCCAGAGAACAGTGTTGAACTCCATTAACATTTCTGTTTTCTTAGACCTTGAAGTCCTCACTGACATGAAGCCAGCAGGCACCGTTCTGCTTTTGATCAGCCTCGCTTGTTTGTTCCTCTATGCAGGTAAGTGCAAGACTGTGCCATAGACTTCTGAACCAGACTGGCTAATGCCAGCAGTTGGATTACAATATTGTTTGTTATGATGATGATAACAATGGTGAGTGATGACCTAAACCTTTTCATTTCAGTGGAATTTTTAATGCATAAATGAGCTATTTTAATTTTTTACTATAGTGTTCTGCTTAAAGCACTATAGTATTCAGTTTCAAAATGCATTTCTTGTTGTCTAGAATGAAAAGGCTAGTTTTAGATTTCATAGGTTCCCATGTTCTAATTTTGAGATTGTAGGCCATTTACATTGCTGTCTATGGGCCACCACAAGAGGTATCTGGTTAGAATTATGCTTCCATCTTTAGGGAAACTTTGATGTAGAAATGAGAAATCCTCCTAAAAATGTCTTCTTTAAGAAATTCTTATTTAATGGGCTTCAACTGTCAGCATTCTTCTGAGATATGGCGAGAAAATCTGAGTCATCCTTTTTTATCCTCTAGGCAAAAAAAAAAAAGTAAAGAGAGAACTAGGGAAGGAGAAAGAAAAAGAAAGAAGGGGAAGGAGAAGGAGACATAGAACGTTTGATGTGGGAGAGTAGAAAGAGCCCAGGAACGGCATTCCAAGACTTGTTTCCAATGTTCATTCTCCCACAACCCCTTCTCATATTGAATAAGTCACCCCTGTGCTCTGGCTGCTATTTTGTCTGATATTAATGGTCGACAGGAAACTCATGTGCACTGATGCTTCCTTCAACAAAAGGTACTGCTTAAGCATGCTGGCTTTAGATTTTAGCAAGTCTAGATTATATTCCTTATTCTGCCATTTATAACATAATTATTAATACTTAGCCAAATACTTGTCCTGGTACTCAGTTTCCTTAGCTTGTTTGTTGGTTTGTTTTGTTCTTGTTGTTTGTCTTGTTTTGTTTTTGTTTGGGCTTTTTGGCTGTTGTTTTGATTTTGGTTTATTTTGTTTTGTTTTCTTGAGACTGGGTCTAACTATGCATACCTGGCTGGCCTGGTACTTGCTAGGTAGATCAGGATTTAAATTTTCTGTGACCCACCTGCTTCCACAGCTGTGCTCTGGAATTATAAGCATGAGCAATTATCAACAGCCTTCCTTAGCTTTAAAAATAAGATTGTTGTATGAGTTGATATATGTAAGATTTAATACAGTACTTAAACATATAATTCCCACAATAGAAAGGGGATATGCCAAATGTAAATGTGATAAATTACGATTATTAATACTGCAATTTTTTAAAATTTATTTTGTATTTTTGTTATATCACTATCCTGTCATCAAAAGCTTTTAATTCAAAGATTTTCAGCTCCCTTATAGTAAATATATATCTGTTCACCCAAGAACAGCTTAAGACTTTGCCTTCATTTTTCCATAGAGAGGCTTGTTATGAGATAAAGCACAAAGTAGAAATGTGATTGCATAAAAGTACATAAAGGACAAACACAGTGAGAGCAATGTTGTCCCAACTGTGCGTAATGCAGCCTGCCTCTGGCACTCCTGTGCAGTTAATAAGCTGTGTGTCTCGGGGTAGTTCTCCATCTGCAAAGCAGAACGGGTGCATTGGGAAACTGCTGTGATTAGCTGCAACTGGAAAATACAGTTGTCACATGTGATTTATCAATGTCTGTTCTTTCCCTGCAGATGCTGTGAGTCAAGGGGGCTTTAAGGTATGTGCCTCTCATCCTATATCTAGTCGTTCCTACCCCAGCAAGCTGCACCACAATGCCCAGAGAAGAGAGGGATGGAAGACAATAAACTGCTAACAAGAAATGCTGCGATTTTAGGGGTTTTGTTCTTTCTGATGTATTTTCATTTTCATAATAAAACATGAATGTGCTTCAAGGAATTTTGAGGTATGTAAGGCTGTTTTTCCATTCCATAAGAAATGAAAGTTTAAAAAAATACTTTATTTAATTTACAGGCTTTTTGCAGAAACTATGAGAAGACACTGGCTAGTGATGCAAAATCGTGCCCAAAGTTCCACAAACCAGTGTGTGGCACTGATGGAAAAACTTACCAAAACCGCTGTGAATTCTGCCGAACAGCTATGTAAGCAAATGGACGCTGCTAATAGCATGATGTTCTTGGTTGAGTCCAGTGGAGTAGGAATCCATGAATTATTTATTAATAATTTACTGGGCTATTAAAGTTAATTTTGTATGAAAAAAGTGATATGATTATCTCCCAATCTTAAACCTAGAAAAACGATCATTGCCCACTTTACCCAGCCTAGAATTAACCCATTTCTATTGCACTTCATATCTGAACATCATTTCTTTTCTTTCAGGGAAAGAAGTTTTGGGAAACTTGGTTTCAAACATGAAGGGAAATGCTGATTCCTCTAACACAACACCGGGTGCACCTTTGGTTTGATTTTTATGCTGAGATATGTATTCTCTATTGCCCAGTCTCCATGGCAATGTGCTTCCCACCAGTTATTATGCATAAGATAAAATTTTAATAAAGTTATCCCAGTAATATCTCTAAACCAATGCTTTATTTCGGATAATGGAAGGACCTCTAATTAATTAAGTTTGGTAAAATTACAGAATTCAATATGAAATGAGAAACTTGAAAACTACACAGAATATTACTACACTTACCAGACCCAGAAGTATCCAATCAGTGCTCAGTTCTTCAGTAGCTATACAGAGACTTTGAAGTAAATAAAATTAGAATCCATGAAATAAATATATGTATCTGACACCATGACATGCTGGAAGAGTGGTTTTTCCTAAGGAGTATGTTGAGTTGTATAAGGTCTCAACTTAAGCATTGAGGTCAGAAAGCAATAAAAGGTGGACAAAATACTGGTCACTCTGAATACATTCTGGAACATTGGAAGTCTCCACATTACCTGGCTCTTTTATCAATACGACACCACATACCACAGAAAATATAATTTCTGTAAGTGCAAAACTGTGAAAAGGCTTAAAAGAGTAGACCATGTGCTATTGATGTTTCAAAATATAGACATAAACAAGCTAAACACTTTCAGTCACTGTAAAGACAGATACACATCAACATTAAAGCATGCTTTGATATTCTCTTGTTTAAAAATTCCAATGAAAGTATTATTCCATTTATTATTTCTAGAAATAATTATCCAGTGCCTACAATACACCAGATATCATTCCAATAAAAAAGCAAAGACAAGATTCCCACTTTGAAGAAACTTATAACTTAGTAGGTAGACAAAACTATGAGTTAAATCGGTTTTCAGTTATTAAAAAATTTAAAAGGAAGCCGGGCGGTGGTGGAGCACGCCTTTAATCCCAGCACTCGGGAGGCAGAGGCAGGTGGATCTCTGTACGTTCGAGGCCAGTCTGGGCTACCAAGTGAGTTCCAGGAAAGGCGCAAAGCTACACAGAGAAACCCTGTCTCGAAAAAAAAAACAAAAAACAAACAAAAAAAATTAAAAGGAAACAAAATAGAGGCACATGGTAGAGATAATTGGAGGAGGAGCTGGGAACAAAGATTGCTTGAAATTGATTCTTTGGAGTGGATCTTGAAGAGTGGAGAAATAGAGACTATTTCAAGTAGTGAGAATAACAAATATAAAGCAAATAAAGGTGAATAAAGAAAGACTGACAGGATTACATGGACGAGGACAGCCACACACAATCTGAAGCTGTGCTCCGTTTCAGGAACCCGTTGATACAGAATAAGGAAAAAATTCACAGAAGGCATGCTGTTTTAGTACACCTGTGATACAAAAGAAATTTGCTGAGTTAAGAATGAGGGAAAGTTTTGCATAGAGAAAGGATAGTTGTGAAGTCTGAAATTGAGTAAGTGTATTAATTAGATGCAAACTTGGTCGGAGTACTTTCCCTATTACACAGCTAAACACGCTACTTTTGAAGGAGAAGTTTTCACTGCACAACAAACAAGTCAGAAGTGTCCTAGAGATGCTTCTTTAGTCAAGATACCTCAAACACACACACACACACACACACACACACACACACACACACACATGCATAATAAACAAACAAACAAATAAACAAACAATTTATTTTTAGAACAGGAAAAGAAGTTTACGCTCTAGAGGACAAGCTCACTTCATCAGTGCATAACAGCTTCCTTCCAGAGTCAATGTTTTCCTCTTTGTCACTTACACTAAGTAGCAAATACTCTGTTCTGAAACCACAAAGAACACATCATGCCATCCTAACCACCATGCAAAATACCACAGAACACAAATTTAGGGGCAGTGGATCATACCATTTTACTTGGTTTCCACATTCTCTACTTTCAAATATCATCTCCACTTATCTCTTAGTAGAGAGCTTGATAATCTTAATTTCCTTTTTTTGTTTACTTTTTCTTTGTTCCGTATTTCACTTTAATTTTCCTTCCTCCTTCTTTCCATTCCATCCTTCTTATCTTCTCCTTATGGGACCCTATTCCTCGTATTGGGTCGCCTTGCCCAGCCTTAATACAAGGAGAGGTGCTTAGTCTTACTGCAACTTGATATGCCATGTTTTGTTGATACTGATGGAAGACCTGCCCTTTCCTAAATGGAAATGGAGGAGTAATGGATCGGGGGGGGGGGGATAGTGAGGGAGGGACTGGGAGGAGAGGAGGTAGAGGAAACATCTGCTGGGGTGTAAAATAAATAAATGAATAAATTTATTTTTAAAAGAAGAGACAGTTCAAGAAATTGATTAGCCATCATTATAAATGAAAATATTGAGATAGTTCAAAACATATCTACTATGTGTAGTGATCATATTAGTGTAATTAATATTGTCTTATTGTCCTTCTTGTGTTTAGAATCTTACCGTTCCTGTCTTTTTATTATAATTTGTCTTTATTCTTGATAATTTTAAGCATGTATACAATGAAATATTATCATATCTGACCCTGCTACCTCCTCCAGCATCCCCTCTCCACCTTCCTCTGCAGTATGTTCCCTTCCCAACATCATGTCTTCCTTTTCTTTTTGTTTTCTTTTCCATAACCTATTAAGTCCAGTTAGTGCTGCCCATGTGTACCTGAGTGTTGAGCCATCCATTGTAGCAGGACTTTTCTGGGGCCACCAATCAGCTCCCAAATTATGACATGGAGACTTATAAGTTATGAATGCTTGGCCTAGCTTAGGCTCATTTCTGGCTAGCTCTTTTAACTTAAATTAACCTGTTTCTCGTTATCCATCTTTTGCCCTACGGCTTTTTACTTTTCTTTCGTTCAGTATGTCTTACTTTCCCACTGTCTCTATGTCTGGCTGGCTGACGGCTTCCTGGCTTCCGGCACTGGGTGTGTCCCTCTCTTTCTCCTAGTTCTCCTTCTTCTCTCCTCTAGTTCTTTTCTCCTTCATCTTACTCTCTCTACCTGCCAGTCCTGCCTAGGTATTGGACATTCAGCTCTTTATTAGACCAATCAGGTGCCTTAGGCAGGCAAGGTGAAACAAATCCAACACATCTTTACATAATTAAACACACACCATTACATTATTAAACAAACGCAGCACAAACAAATGTCACACACCTTTACACGATTAAAATAATATTCCATAACCATCCACTGCACCACGGGGAAACAGCCAGTAGGAACCCCATCAAGAGAATGATTTTCCCTCCCCCGGCAGCTGTCAAGTGCCAAGAGCTCCTCTTGAAGTGGGGTGACCGGGATAGCAACTCCCATACCTGTGTTGGGATTTTCTCTGGTTGAGCCCTGTGCATGTCTTGTACATGTAACCATAGTTACTGTGGGTTTGTAAACATGAGAGCCATGTCATGTCCACAAGACGGCACTTCTCAACCCTCTTCCCAATCCTCTGGCTCTCCTGTTCTTTTTGTCTTGTGGTGGCTTGAATGAGAAATGCCCGGAGAGTCTTCGGGGTTTGAATACTTGGCCCACAGTGTCAAAGGAGGCAGGCTTTGAGAGTCTAAAAACATATACAGTATTCAGTTCTTTCATGCTCTCTCTCTCTCTCTCTCTCTCTCTCTCTCTCTCTCTCTCTCTCTCTCTCTCTCTCTCTCCCTCATTCTCTCCATCCCTCCCTCCCGCCCATTTTATGAGTGTAGTTCAAGATGTGAACTCTTATCTTGCCACTTGAGCCCCTGTGCCTGCTCCTTGCTGTCCTGTTTCTCCTCCATCAAGGACTCCAACTCTCTGGAATCATAAAACCAAATAAACTCTTCTGTTCTCTGAGTTACCTTCCTTGGTCATGGTGCTTTTGTCACAGCAACTGAAAAGTATCTAACACACCTTTCCTCCTGCGATGTTCCCAGAGCCTCATCAGAGGTAATGAATAATAAAAATGTACCATTTAAGGTTATATACTCAGTTTATTATTCTCAGAAGTTTGAGGCATTATGTACCTCTGTGTTGATTGTTATCCACAACCAAAAAAAAAAAGGAATATCAATATCATTATTTAAAAGGTAATTTGTCGACATGACTGCTAAGCACAGTGGCAGTCCCATGATCTACCTGAAGGCCTATGACTTTCCCAGCCATGACTTAGACCCAGATTACATTACAGTACCACCCATGACGTTCCTTTCTGTGGAACAAGCCTCAAATCCAATCAGAAGACAGTTGGCTACTCCAGTAACTTTAATGTCACTATTGCACAGGTGGATACTTACCCAGTATGTAGGTGTTGTAGCATGCACAGTTTAGCACTGGAGAAGATCATTAATGTCTTTTTGCTACCCTAACAGCAGCCATAGCATCTTACTCTACTGCGGATGCTAGCCAGCAGGAAGGAAGTTTTCCCATCAGCTTAACATTGATTTGTCTATGTCCTGAAGCCAAAGTGTGTGATGTCTTCAGAAACAGGGTCTTGCCATGTAGTGATGGTGAATAACCAAGGGCAATGGCAATAGTCTGTGTTATTTCCGAGACCTCAGTGGCCTCTCTGACCAATAACTCACAGGGAAGTATACCACTGAGATTTTAAATTAATAACTTATAGCTTCTGGGCTATTGTCCAGCATTATTGTCCATCCTTTGAGGGTAATTCCTTTTGAACCCTTATTTTTTTAAGTTACATTTTGAAATTATCTTACTAATTAGCATGTTTCCATAGGCTATTTCATACAGCCATAATTTTGATAAACCCACCCAGTGCCCCTTCATCTACCCCCTTCTCCCGCCAATACTCCCACTTAATCCTTAAACACCAATATATCCTCTCTTCGTTCATGTCACATGTGTTCTCCTCTGCTCCCAATTACATGTTCTAACTGGGTTTTGAGAGACTAAGCTTTCATAAAGATGTCCCCTTGGCTTCACCCTTCCTTAAACCCTCATTCTCCCCCATGCTCCCACTCTCCTCTGGACATAATCAGTTCTAGTCCCAGGATGCTACCTCCTCATTTTACCT